TCTCGAGCAAAGAAATCAGGACAACTTTGCTCAATATATTTACAGTGAGGCGCATCTTGAATGTTTGCAAGGCCATCAATTCCCATCAAAATTCGACTAGGGTCTCTGAAACTGCTGGCTGAGATGTCCACTATACTCATGTCCTGCTTAATGACACCTCCAGTGACCAATTCACAATGACACTATAATTTGATATGACCATGCACACTCAATGGAAACTCATATAAAATTTACGTTTCGCCAAAAATGTTCCCCCAACTTTGATGAAAATAGCAACGCAGACGTTGGGACAATTATTGGAAACTGTATAGAAATAGTAAAAATATTTGTTCTTATTCTCAATCGACCCAGGGGGAAATTCTGGAAGAACAAATATGACCTAATTCTAAAACCTTTTTGCCAGTTTTAATGACCAAATATTTGTTAAAACATTTTCAAATTTATATTCTCCATGAACGGGATAATTAGCTCAAATGGCTTTATGATGATAGTTCGCTAAGCATTTTGTGAAAATGACTCATATCCAAAGGTAGGCATTTTGCAATGAGAGAGGAAAATGGACAATTCGTGCCCTTTAAAGCTAGTATACATTGTTGAAATAAAAAGGCCACCATTCATCTAAGAGTGGTAATAACATCGGCGCCTCTGATAATTCTGCCATAATTGAAATATGGAAGAGTACGCTTTTAAGTAGAGATTGCAGAAACAAAATTATATTTTCATATTAACTTGCAACTTATGAATAAGAAATACATTTCATCACTTTTCAGGCTTTATATGAATGGGGATAATATTCGTGAGTCCTGTTGAGCTTACAAGAATAGAGGATTAGAGAGATAACCTACCGAGTTGGAGCTAAGGAGTCCAGCTTCAACATCACCGACACTGGAGCCTTTCCTAGAAGATGGTGAAGGTTTGGATTTTGAAGAACGCGCAGAAATGCGGAATTGGATGTTTGGAAGGAGATTTGTGGCTGAAAGATAAAACATAGGAAATACAAAAAATAAACGTAAATTACGCATTCATTAAGATACTTCTTACGCCACCATTTGCCAATCGTGGGTGACAACCAACATATTTTCGAATAACACATACACTTATCGACATCTTTTGAAGTATTGAATAAAACGGAAAGCCGCTCATAACATGCAAAGTGAACTAGGGCAAAGTTTACAGTAATAGAATATAGCAAGTGCTAAAGGAAAATGATGAGACTCACACACAGATGAGGAAGCCTTCTTTCCAATATCCGGCACTCCTGACATAGTTCTTGAACGCTTCTCGGCCTTGCCTTTGCCACCTCCAACACCCTCAACATAGGCACTGAAATCTCCAAATGTGCTTCTACGGACAATAGTCTCATCTGAAATTGTACTGTTGCCTGTATTGAGATTGGCATCTGCGATTCCCGATTTCTGATCATCTGAAGTGCTTGATGCAGTGTCTTGTGCTGCCCAATTGATTGAGAACTGCGAGTTAGCAGTGTGGGGTCTAAAATCGATAGTTTTCAGTGTTCTCAAAAGCATTATTCACGATTAATACCCC